TAAATTCTTGCAAATGCCATTAGAAACAATGGTTCTCAACTGGTGGTGTACCGTGATGCCAATCCAGGTGCACCGTGGGGTTTTGTGATAACCACACATTATTATTGCAGTATTCAGCTGGGCTTTAACTATGAATGAATTTTTAATTGACTGTATGAGTATGCTGTGTGCACCCGTTACCTAAAAAAGAGACAAACTCTAGTTAAAAAATGTAATTTAATTAAATTTAATTTAAAAAGCGTTGGTGCATGGGAATTGTAAGTGTGTGACCCATCAAAAGCCCTGATTGGCAGCCAGTGTGAAGGATGATAACAATTAAAAGGTGAAAGTTGTGAGTGGGACAATGGATCGCTTTATTGTATGGAGGAGATTGCAACAAAGCCCCAGTGAAGACAACCTACCACCAAAACAAAAGAAAAAAAAACTGTCAGTAGACAGTATCACAAAACCTACCTGTCTTATGTTTTTTTCCTATTTGTCTGATGTCATGATAAGAGTGATAACACAAGTTACAGAAGATATTGTGCACAGATAATAAATATAGGTGTGCCTTGAGATTTTGGCTTGCCCTTTGATGTGCCTTGGGCATTAAAAATTTGAAAATCACTGCCACAGAATACGCCAGGAATGAGACCTAAAACCCAGACATGAGTTAGCATTTTAGCACTTCTGGTCTTCTGTCATATAATTAACATCATATTATGCATGCGTACTCTTATTGTTATGGCCCTCCAGTAGATGGAGACATGAAACAGAATACTTTTTAATGTATGTAATATTCATTTGTTGTGCAAATAATAAAAAGTATGTAAGTCGATTTTAATATTTCATTTTAAAGCCAGTATCTGCTGACACCAATCACATGCCAATATTAGTGTGCGTCCCTACTTTACGGTCTTATTATGGTGGTGATGTTAGGTCAGGCAACCGTAGAGTAGTTAGGTTATAGCCTAAAATTAGCTTTTTACTTCTGGGGATTGCATTTAGGCTTCAATAATCATGGAAGTAGTGTTCATTTGTGAAGGTTATGTTGCTGAGCAAAATGTGTAAGTATCATAAACATTTGTTTACCACAGAGCTTATTTTTGACAATAATTCAAAATCCAATGGAAAATTCCCATAGGCTTTATAATGAGGGACCCAGTGCAATAGTTTATTTGCCATTTGCAGTAATATACCACATTGGAAAACGATTGTGAGAGTTCACATTTAAGACATAAGGGACCATAAGACAAACATTAAAATGAATAAATAATACAAACAGGTAGGTACATAACAAGGACAATGCCCCCAGCGACATGCCCACATCATTTAAATGGTAACTTCAGTGTTGGCTTACAGATAAACTTCATCCTTGGGGTACTCTATTGTGAGGGGGCAGAGGAAGATGATTTTTTTCATAAGTTATCCCTCTCATGTCAGGATTTAGTGACAGTTCCAGCAAAAATGACAGTTATTTTTATAAGTTACCAACTACAGCTTTAATAAACACAGACACAGGAGTGGTTTCCAGCTGCAGCTGTAATAACAGCACATTTGCCATCACTTGTGAGAGGAACTTAGGCATAACAATGGAAATATTAAAGTGGAGTCGTTTTAACCACTGCTATTTAAAAACAAACACCATGTTTGTGTATTCAATACCACAGGCAGGTAGACATTCCTCATTGGCAGCAAGGTACATTACCACAACATGTTTTTAAATGATTAATGTTTCGACAGTTTGTGGTGCTGGTAGCATTTTATTATTCTCTATTTTTATGTTTAAAAATGTATAATGGTTTTGACTCAGTTTCACAAGATTCAGTATGAAGAAACTCCTAATTCTGGACTCACAGTTGTGGGATCACTTTGTAAACTTAATATAATTGGGCACAGGTAGAATTTGTCATAGCATATGGGCACAGTAGTAGTTGTTGCAGTAATTTATTTCGGTCCGGATTCACAATTCTCCCTTAGAGAATACACATTAAGAGGAATAAATGCAATAAGGTATTAAATTAAAGAGACAAAACAAATTAAAAGGGAAAAAAAGGATATTAACAATATAGAATTAATAAAAGGTGTATGCTGAAACTTATTGTACCTACCATTTTTAGATATATTTTTCTTTAAGGAAACCCTTTTATTACTTGGTTTAGGCAACACAAAAACATATACACATCTCTAGTTCTCTAGTGTCTTTTTGTAGTAATTTTGGAGTCTCTTTGTGGTTGATTTATCCCTTTTTCTAAGTCTGTGTGAGTCTCTTTGTGTCTCTTTACAGCTGTTTTGCATCTCATTTTATGTGTCTTTGTGGTCCGGTTGGTGCGTGTGTCTTCAAGTGACATTTTGCAGGTGAAGGCCTGGGGACTCTGCCACTCTGGACCCCTGGGCCTGTGCCAGGTTGGCCTGTTTAGCAATCTATCCATGAATAAAACGATACAGACTGTTAGATATTGAACTAAAAGTGGAAATACTGTCTCAAAAAGCAGCAAAAGTCTGGTAAAGAAAAATAGACCTGATTCCAGCAAAGACCCAGTGGTTAATAATGTCCTTAACCCTTACCTTTGAGTCTTTGAGACATTAGGTCACCACTGATGAAGCTCTGAAGCTGCATCCAACTTCCCAAACGAGCTCTGCTACTCATGCATCTCGTCCAGTAAATGGAATAGGATGTGTTTTTGTCTGCCTCACCTCTGTGAGCCATGAAGACTTGACGTATCCTTGGAGGTTGGAGGAAACATGTGTTTCAAAGCGCCCGTCTGTCCTCCTTGTTTTGCTGACTTCTTGTTTTTACGGAGGTCGTCTCGTTTCCTCGCCAAGCATATGTTCCCTTTTTAGTCTGCAGAGAATAGGTTTCATTGTAGGAGTGTAAGGAGTTTTGACCACAGCGATGATCAGTTTAACATCCCCATGTGTGAAATCATGTTCAATTTAAAAGATCAATACATGCTGATCGATCCCTTGCTGGTTTTATATCTGAAAAAGATGTTTAACAAATGATTTGCTCCAGCGCTGGGGTTTGGGAAAACATACAAAAAAGCTGTTTAGTCTGGTTGTAATAGCTGTATGTGGCACTGAAACACTTAAACAACCAAGTTTTAGTCAGTTGACAAGCTGTTTTCAATTTAAGCTTTTAAAATGTCTGCCTGTAACTTTTTATTGCCCAATTTCTCTACAAAACATTCATTAGGAATTTAAAAACACACAGTTAGTCCCTTTCTCTAAGGCCCCCCACATATCTTGGCCTTCTTACAGTGACAGTGACTGTTCCAAGGTTGAGCTGGCAGCCCAGTCGCCAGTATAAAATGTTGGCACTGTATGCTTTTGCAAACCACGGATATGTTATATTGGTACATTTCATATGTATGACATAGTTCACAGTACATGTATATGAGCTGAGTTTGTCATCAGGGTGAGATAGCTGCCAAACAGCTGCCAAGCAGCAAACCACTGTTCAAGACCAACAAAAGCTGGTATTTTTAAACAACAGTTTGGGACATGTCAAGTTGTGTTTGTAGCATTAAAGGTCTATGTTTTTGAACAACAGTTTGAGACAGCTGTGTTTGTAGCAACAAAAGCAGGCATTCTTTAATCAACAGTTTGGGATATGTTCAGTTGTGTTTCTTGCATCAAAAGCAGGTGTAATTTAACAACAGTTTGAGACATTTCCAGCTGTGTTTGTAGCAACAAAAGCAGGCATTTTTTGAAGAAAGGTTTGGAACATGTCAAGTTGTGTGTGTGAAGCAACAAAAGCAGGTGTTTTTTAGTAACAGTTTGGGACATGTCCAGCTGTGTTTGTAGCATTAAAAGTCTATGTTTTTGAGGGCATGTTCAGTTGTGTTTCTAGCATCAAAAGTAGGTGTAATTTAACAACAGTTGGAGACATGTCAAGTTGTGTGTGAAGCAACAAAAGGGGATGTTTTTTACTAACAGTCTGGGACATGTTCAGTTGTGTTTGTAGCAACAAAAGCGGGTGTTTTAGTAACAATGTACTACATGTTCACATGTAACCACAGTGTTATCACAGTAAAAATGTTAAATTTGAAACCTAAAGTTTCATTGTAGTCATTACATGTGAAAGGTTCAAATGTACATGGTTTGCAGAAATGTACAGTGCCAGCGTTTTACTGGTTAATTCTTTAAATCTAATTGATTAGATGATGATAATTGTTTATTGATTTCTGCTTTTGTTTTATAATAAATCTTTTTATTTTGGATTGTAGTGAAACAGGCTGAGGGAAAATATGGGCCTATTACTGTTTCTTAAAATGTAAAATATAATATGATAGAGTGTATGATATAATATAAATACTATTCTGTTGCTGTGGATATTGAATTGATGAACAGTGAAACAGATCAGAGGTTAGTTACAGAGCGTACAGACTTTACAGTCTCACAGGTGGACTGCCTGCAGGCTCTGTCCATGGTGCTGGATCTATACATTGTTTACAGTATCTTTTACTTATAGAGTCCTCTGAGTTCACTGGGATGGGTGTGATGGACAAATAACTGTGGTTTTAAAATAATCATTAGGTCCTTCATGTGAGGTTTTCTTTATTGTAAATTTACTGTGTAAAGATAGTACATTTGCAGTGTTGTGACAAAAAAAACTCCCTTATGTGTGATAGGTTCCCTTGTAAATTCTGCTCCTTTCTGTGTATCTATATTTTCACATTCCCATTCACACTTTTATTTTGTTATCGTTTTAAAAACACTAGACAAGTTGAACATTTTTGCCTTAGACTTTTCAGTTCTCTTACAAAACCAAGTATAAAAGCAGAGGATGTTTCTTCCCTATACAGGCTGCAAAAGTACAGTTTTATAACTTTACAGTTCTGTTACATTTATTTTTAATACCTCCGTCCCTACATTCCTCAGGAAAAGAGGTGTATCTCAGCATAACTGTATCAAGGCCAAAATATGTCTACCAGGTGGAGATGGCAGCTCAGTGTTACAAACCCCAGGCCTCTGCGAAAGGTCACCACCTGACATTCATCGAAGCTGACATTCATATTTTCACAGGGCCCAGCAGGGCTGCAGCTAACACCTGGCTGGATCCCGTGCATGGCCGCCGTCCCACTCAGTCCTTGGAAAAGCGACCTAAAAAGTGACCTGAAGTGAGGGGAAGTAGAGGAGCAGACGAAGGAGGCGCAGGCCAGAGGGAGCGACGACCTTGAGTTTGAGAGGAGAAGAAATCTGAGAGTAAGAGAATTTGTCGTTTTGCATGGTGGAACCTGTGGCTGTAAAGTGACCATAAAAAGCATAAACGAAAGTACAGTTCTGTTGATTTCTGCTATTTGGTACAAAATGCAGTTCATGTAAATTCACCAGAATGCAGGAAATTAAGTGTTTAATGCTCAACATTTTTCTTGCTGAGGACCCCAAACCCCCCGTTTCATGTGTCCCTCCCAGTGTTTAAGTGAAACCTACACCCTTGTCTTTAACACACTAATTGTGCAGATGAACTACACAGATTAGGAATAGTGTGCTAAAAATATTGTACAGTAGACACATTGGGTCTGACACTACTTTACTTGCTTTTTTAGTAATTGCCCAGAAAAATGTGAGCAAGTCTTGTTTCCAAAAACTTTGATCTCTTTGGTACTGTTTAAGGGCATACAAATACCACGGCGGAGGAAAACATACATTCACCCATCACTGTTTGTTTTCACACTGTGCTCTTGGCAACACTTAGCCAATCTCTTTAGCACAGACATGTTTAAAGGATTAAGGATTATGTTCAAAAGTGACCACGTCCCCTGCGGGGCCTCTTAATTACGATATATGTTTTAGCAGCATGTGCTTCGTGTAATTCACCTCAAGGATATGAGACTCTGAGGCTTTTACACAGTATGTTTGAATAGATGTGTAAACAAGGGGAAGGACGGACGAGAGGCAGTGGAGGGGTTTTGTTTCTTTTTTGGTTTGACCACAGTGGGTTTCATACTTTCAGTCAGCTGTAAGATCAAAGAGCACAGCCTGCTGGTCATAGACTAACATGACGGCTGCTTTTAGGTTAAATGGTGTGTACAGTGAATGTCCTAGTGGTTATAGCAGCATACTACAGACTACAGGATTTCTTCCCTAGCTCTTATTTCTGCCTTACTGGAGTGTGAATGATTAACTTCAGCGACCTCAAGTGGTGAGAGAAGGAACATCAGCAACCATTTAAATGGAAATCAGAAAGATTTCATTACAAACTGAAGGTCTGAAGTTTGAAAGATACTATCCTAGTGCATTATGGGAAGTGTAGAATCTAGTGTTTTTTTTAAAACTTGCCCCATACAACAGACTTAAAGGAACAGTTCACCCCCAAATCTAACATACTGTAACAGACTGGGTGACATGATGTTAACTGTATGGATTCTGTCACTGTTAAAAATGTGTTATGTTCACCTACAGTAAAAGGTCTGTTATGGCTGTACTGAATTTTCTGTAACGGCAGTTAACGTGCGTTGAGATGCTGTGAAGCCTGTCAGTCAATACTAACAGTGATTTGTGTGAGATAACCACCTGTAATTGGCAGAGGTTTGAGGAGGGGGGGCTGTTGTTATTCCTCTAGTTTTGTGTGTGTGTAGCCAAGGAGCAGGCGCTGCCGTTGGCTGTGGCCCACAGTAGCCTGTGTTAAAGTGAAGGAATAAAAAGCCAGCAAAACGAGTTCATGCCTCATAGCCTCATTGTTAAGGGACACTACAATACATATATATATTAAAGATATTTTTTAGGGCATTTCTGCCTTTAATTGATGCCAACCGTACCACCACACAGGATGAAGCATGCCTCTATCTACATTATTGGACATTAAATATTAATGGCATCCTCCATGGCTGAGCTGTAACATTAGCTAGCTCAGTGGTGCTAGGTGAGCTAGCAGTAGATGCACGCTTCCTTCTGTCCAGTGTTGCATTGGCGGGTGCAATTCAGTAGAAAGAAAACAGTCCCTTCATTAAAACTGCTCAAAACAAGGTCTGTGGACTATCTTGAGTAACCAGGTCATGATTTCTGTAAAGAGACATTGCTGTTGATTTTTTCAAATGTAGTTTTTTGGCGCATTGATTGCCACAAGCCGAGTGCCATCAAGTTCCATGATATTGGAGAGAAGGCGTACATCTCCAACACTCTGCATCACACACCAAATCACCCTAGAGTGATAAATAGCACTACAGGTGGGAGGGAAAATACTGATTTTGGAGTGAACTGTCCCTCTAACGTCAGGATATCTTGGCCTTCAAATTTGTGGACAAGAATACAACTAAATATCACTTTGAATACAGTTAATTATCAGTTAAGAAACAATCTAGTGGCATTAAACTAACCACCAGGCTGCACAATTGTCTAAATGTGTTATGATGTCATAATCTGTTATATTGTACTTATTTTCTTCTCCAATGCAGAAAATGGTGGCTGCCCCCGTCCACTCTCTCTGTCTACTCATCACAGTGTTCCAGCTGTCTTTGTTACACCTGGTCCATGGTGGGGCATATTATGGACATAAACAGCCACCTCAGCAGCACCAGCCATTGCCTCAGTACAATGATGGGTTTCCCCAGCAGCAGTTTTTGGGGAACGAGATGCCACACCTGCCTTACAAAGGCCAAGACGGGCCATTACTGCCTCAGTATGGAAAAGAGCTTCCTCAACTGCCTTTGCCACTGGGCAAAGAGAGGCCGCTGACTGAAGGCAAAGGTGAGGTCAGCTAGTTAGTGGAAAACCAGTAATTTAGTTGTCACTTAATACCTACCAGCTAAGATAGACAATATATCCTCCTGAGACCCAGTGACCTCATATGAGGACATCACATTTTGGGTTTACTTGACCTTATCCTTCATACTACTTAACGTAGACCTGTTGTCCTCGTTCGTGAACAATTTTTTGTGCCATCTAGTGGTAGTAAAAGCACAATACACTATAATTTACTACCATTAATGGGGCCACCATAATCTATTTTCAAATTCAAATAAATTAATAAATAAATCATTAACCAGTATTACAATCATGATAAACATTTTACATATTCTTAAATATTCATGTAAACTTCCTAATAGTGTTGATAATCCATCACAACGCTTGTTGTATTTCATTGATCACTGTTGATTTATTTAATCAATATTCTACATTATATTATATCTACCAAATGTTTCCTTTTATTTTCAGGACAAACATTCCCCAGAGGGGCCAAAGGTCCGCCTCCCCCTGGTCCTGGTGGAGAAGGTCTCAGAGAGGGACCACAAGGAATTCAGGGCCCCCCGGGACCAACAGGGCCACCAGGACCACAAGGCCCCTCTGGCCTACCAGGCCAAGGATTGCCAGGGTTACCAGGAAAGCCAGGACCTCCTGGTCCTCAAGGCTACCCAGGAATCGGAAAACCCGGCATGCCAGGATTGCCAGGAAAACCTGGAGGACCCGGATTACCAGGACCAAAAGGCGACCTCGGTCCTACTGGTGGTGAAGGACCAACTGGACTTCCTGGGCCTGCAGGGCTCCCAGGTCCCCCTGGACTCCCAGGGATTTCAAAACTAGGAGGTCAGGGGTTGCCTGGCCATATGGGTCCTCCAGGGGAGCCTGGCCAAAAAGGTCCACCTGGGTTTCCTGGTCCTCCGGGCCCCAAAGGAGACAAAGGACTTGGTCAACCTGGTTTGCCAGGTTTGAAAGGACCTAGTGGACCCCCAGGTCCACCTGGAAATGTGGGCTTACAAGGGGTTGGTAAACCTGGGCTGAATGGTCTCCCTGGACAACCTGGGATACCAGGGAAGTCTGGTCCTTCTGGAGAGCCAGGACTGGCAGGGTCGCCGGGTGAGAGAGGCCAACCAGGACCACCAGGTTTGCCAGGGATTGGAAAACCAGGAAAAGATGGTTTCAGGGGGCAACCAGGGCCTCCTGGAGGAAAAGGGGAAACAGGCCCTCCTGGTTTACCAGGTGGTCCAGGCTTGCCAGGTTATGGTAAGCCAGGGTTTCCAGGACCTAAGGGTCACAAGGGACATGCTGGTCTTCCTGGACCTCCAGGCCTAAAAGGTGATAAAGGTCATGGAGGTCCTCCAGGGGTCATTGGTTCCACAGGTCCCAGTGGTATTCCAGGCCCACCAGGTCCGATAGGGCCTCCAGGCAGTCTTGGCTTCCCAGGGCAAAAGGGAGAGGATGGTGTGGTGGGACAAAAAGGAAATCCAGGAATGAAGGGTGACATGGGGCCTCCAGGTCTTCCAGGACAACCAGGTTTGGGAGGTGGTGGTGGACAACCAGGACCAAGAGGTTTTCAAGGGCCCATTGGCCCTAAAGGAGAACCAGGTCTTAGGGGTTTACCTGGTGCCCCTGGTGCTGCAGGATTACCTGGACCAAGAGGAGAGGTGGGACAACCTGGAGACCAAGGCTACCAGGGACCACAAGGTATCCCAGGCATTATAGGACCAGGGGGACCACTTGGACCTCCTGGACTGCCAGGGCAAAAAGGTGAAACAGGCCTGCCTGGTAAACCTGGTTATCCTGGTGAGGGAAAGCCAGGACCTCCCGGTCCAATTGGTCCTCAAGGTAACCCTGGGACAAGTGGCCCCGCTGGACTTCCAGGACAACCAGGACAACCAGGACAACCTGGACCCCCTGGTCCTCCAGGACTACCTGCTGCATCTCCTGATCTCGGACAGATCCTTCCTGTAAGCGGCCCATACACTGGCCAAAAACAAGGTTACAAAAAGCCGAAGAATGGAGGCGACATCGGTGGAAACGTTGTGGAGATGCCTGCGTTCACAGCTAAGCTCACAAATCCGTTCCCTCCTGTTGGCTCTCCTGTCATCTTTGACAAACTCCTGCACAACGGCAACCAGGACTACAACCCCCAAAATGGTATTTTCACCTGTAGCGTCCCAGGGATCTACTACTTTGCTTACCACATCCACTGCAAAGGGGGGAATGTGTGGGTGGCACTGATGAAGAACAATGAGCCAGTGATGTACACATATGATGAATACAAAAAGGGCTTGCTGGATCAGGCATCGGGGAGTGCCGTACTCCCGTTACGTCAAGGAGACACTGTGCACATACAGCTGCCATCTGACCAGGCTGCAGGACTTTATGCTGGTCAGTATGTCCACTCCACGTTCTCTGGATACTTACTGTACCCAATGTAAGAAACGTGTATAGACCAAGGCAACAGTAATGACACATTGATGGTATCTTTTACCATATTTATGGTAAAACTACTGCAGTCTCGAAGGTACAGTGTAGGTCAAGTTAAATGGTTTACAATGTGTGGTGGCAAGATCATCTTTTTTATATACAGCAGCAACATCCTTCATTTAATAATTCTTTGCATTATATGCACCACATGTTACAACAATGGAGTCTCAGAAAGATATAGAGTCATGAAATAATGGCAAGTGTATTCTGGTCACTGGCTATGATGAGTGAAAAGTTTCTTGTGAGTGCTGTGGAGAGAAGAGGTAAAAAACAATACCAAATATCTCAGTTGTCATAATTCTTGTATGTTTACATTGTGCATTTATTCTTATATCCATCCACACACAATATATCAGTGTTCATGTCATGGCTGGAATAATTCCTGGAACTATGAGGCTTTATGTTGCAGAATTGTATTCACTCATGTTTTGCTTTACAGTTATATACTGTATACTGGGCACATAACAACATATTGGTTTCATTGTGCAATGCATTTACTCATAGCTATCACCACATAATGCTGGGTTATGTATTTGGGGTCATGATACAGTTATTAAATTATTGTTAGTCTTTTTTTGTTATCTTAAAATGCAGCTTTTTAATACGACAAAATCTTAATACAATTTTTACATATTCATCTCACAGTGAAAGAAGTATTTGGGTGAGTTTCAGTCTAATTTCATATCATATCTCTGTCCACAACAGAACAGTTTTGTCCACAATTTGGCAGTTGAACTATCTTTTGATTCTTCACTTTCGACCATTTAATGTCATGATTTGTCTTGTTTTGATTGTAATAGACATGAATTCTTTAAAAAGGGTTTTGTCAGTTTGTCAGTATTCTCTGTAATTTATTTGTTTGACTACTGATTATTTGGGATTGTGTTAATTTCTGTGTGTTGACAGTAAATGATGGAATTCATTCCAAAATGCAGAACGTGCACCTTCTGTGGCAAAACACAACGCTAATATTAGAAAATATGTTCACACTCACACCCATTTATACCAACATGTGTCCGTTACTTTCTTTTTGTACTTTATTTCTCCAAACTGGATGTGCCATTTTGGAATGAAATTCTTTAAAAAAAAAAAAAAAAAAAATTCCTCCTGTTTTTTTTCTTTGCTTTGGACAATGGTGCACAGTATTAAATAGGAAACTGTGCCTAAAATATGTGAATTTTGTTGCTTTGATTTGTTAGATATTGGTTTAATAAAGAAATAAAACCATTTGTCTTGATTTGATTTTCATTTGGTGTCATATACTGTGTGCCTCATTATCCCAGCAAAAATGACTACCAGTGGTGTTGGCACCTCAGATAAATGTTAAAAATGTGGTTCTCAGAGTGACTCCCTCATGCCATTTACTGTGAGAAAATTAGAGAGACTTGGGGAAAATATTGAAAGATGGATTTTAAGAACTTGCAATGGTGCAGTAGTTTTTTGACCACCAATTTGTCTCTTTCAAAATGTTTGGAAATTAAAGATACCCAACAGGATGGCAAATGCTTTTCTCATCATAAGTTTATAAGAAGCACATATTGCAAAACTGGAAAAATGAGGAAGCATCTACACGTCAAGAATGGAAAACCAAATATTATCTGTGTATTGAAAGGACAATTTTGGGAGACAGCAACAAAGAGAAACAATTTGATAATATATGGAGCCAAATCTAGCGTGTAAGTATAAAGTAGCATAAAAAAAATACTCAAGTACCTCTAAACTGTACTTAAGTTTTAAATACAGTACTTGCTACCTTTCACCGCTGCCCACATTAGATTTGACATTTTTTTACCAACTCCACATTGGGGAGAAAGGGAAAGAAATCCCCCCTTTAATTGAGGAAAAGACATTGACAGTATTGAATAATTACAATGCACAATTATCAAGTCTCAAATGATCCAATATGTCACTGTAACAAAGTAATAAATGTGATCCCTTGTGTTGAATGTTTTCCATGTGCTGGTTGGGCGAGAAGTAACGGGAATTTGCGAGAGAACGCGAGAATAAGCCTGGCCAATCAGAGTTTTATACGTCATACTTCCTCCAGTTTCCCCTCCTGCTGCAGCTGCTAACCTCTGTTTCCCTGTTTCATCAGTTAACTCAGCCTTTTATGAGCAACAACAAATAAAGAGTAAGTGCTATAATTAATCTCGCATGTGCCCTACTAATGTTACGTGACAGTTTGGCAACTTAGCTTGCTATTTATCTCAAGCTACCAAGCTACCACTCCCGTCTGTGTGACCTAACGTTAAAATAGCTAACCATTAGCTAGCATTAGCTTGGTAGCTCAGCTGTCTTATGCCGTTCACAGACTATTTAACTCAACCTGTCACCATTCATGATTGCTGCTGAAGTGAAGCGAAGCTTTTGCGGATACACTTTGGACTGACGTGTTAATCAAGAGGACGTGACCAGTCAGGCATCTGCTACACGTTAGCCATGCTAAGTTAGCAACGCTAGCAAATGACAAGTGCACGGAAGAGTCACACTAGTGCTGCAGCTGTGAAGCTTACAACGTTAATGTTTGATTTTACTGAAGCTGGTGATTCATGTCTTTGTGCTGTTTGTGGTAATGCTATGCAATCTGCAGCGCAGTATTTTATATTATCTTAATCTCTGTTTCATCGGGCTATCAATGGTTTAGAGTTTGACATTAAAACAACTATGTCACAACTTATTCCAGATACCCACCATGGCTTCTCGAGCAGGTCCGAGAGCAACAGGCACAGATGGCAGCGACTATCAGCACCGGGAGCGGGTTGCCTCACACTATCAAATGAGGTAGGTTCATTCAAACGTGAAAGTAATGGAGTGATATCTTACTGGAATAATTTACCCTTTTCTTGAGATCTGTTGCATCTTTCCGTTGCTTTAGGACTAATTTATATTGACATCTCAACACAAATGGCTCATGTTTTTAAGTTGTCCTATGGAAAATTGCCATGTAACTATGGTAGGTCAAAGGGAGGCCATGTTACTGTGGGTAACTGATGGTGAGCGAGATGTCTGTATGGTGTTTTGTATTTGTGTACAGAGGAAAAAATTCAAATTTCTATCGGAGGAAAATCAGTAGCTCTGTTTCATCCATATAATTAAGATAAGCAATGGTGTGTCCAGTTCCATTTTTATCAAGATCAAAATGCTGAAAAAAAAGGTGCCGTTTTTTTTTGGCCTCTTTGCCGGTCATACTTATTTCAGTGTGTCGTTTTATGAAAGTATGTGAGGTAAAATTAGATATTACATAAAGGTCTATTATAATTTGATTCAGAGGATTCATCATCAATGCATCTATGAGTTCAATGAACTCATAAATCTTATTGCTTTGTGTTTGACTGTACCATCTGTCTCATTGTGCAGTGTTGCCCTGAAGTCTGAAATCCGTAAACTCAACATTGTCCACGTGCTGATCTGGGTGCTGATGGCAGCTCAGGTAATTGTAGAACTTAAATAAAAGTGTGGAGATTGACTGACAGTTGTAACAGCTGAGCTAGTTGTGACTCAGTGTTCATCTTTTCTCAGGTGACAGTGAGCCAGCTAAGCCTGGTGTCCCACAAGGTCGTAGCCTCTCCATACCAGTGGGAGTACCCCTACCTCCTGAGTATAATACCCACAGTGTTCAGCTTCTTGGCGTTGCCTCGCAACAACATCAGCTACTTGGTCATCTCCATGATCAGCGCCGGGCTGTTCTGTGTGGCCCCGCTGATCTACGGCAGCATGGAAATGTTCCCTGTGGCGCAGCAGCTCTATCGGCACGGCAAAGCCTACCGCTTCATCTTTGGCTTCTCCGCCGTGTCGGTCATGTACCTGGTGATCGTCATCGCTGTGCAGGTGCATGGCTGGCAGATTTACTACAGCAAGAAGTTGCTGGACCAGTGGTTCACCGGCACACAGGACAAGAAAAAGAAATGAGTCAAAGCAAGCCCACGTGGACATGAGGATCTCAGAGCTGAGGTGTTTTTTTGCAAACCAATCACTGAACTGTTGGATTGAGCCAGCCGAGACCAAGAGAAGAGACTCTCAAGTTAAAACTATCATGGCTCGTCATCATCTTTTACTGTATTTATATTTGACGTGATATCATCATCGTTCAACTGTTGAAGATCATTCCCTGGACTGCTTGTGACTGCTGCCATCACTCTGTAAATTAATCCTCCTGGAATTTCATCATCCAACTGTAAATGTGTTCTGTTAGTGCCTCCTTATTCCAGGTGTTGACAGTGTAAACAGGCCAGGTTTAACTGGAAGAAGACTGTAATCATGTAAGTTGATGTTTTGGAAACAAATCCAAAAATAAATTTGAATATTTGACTGATCTGTTACGCACTCTGAGCTGTTTGAGTCAGGTCAAGCTTTCACCAAGTCTTTCTTTGGTGAATTTTTTGGATCGTGTCACCCTTTCCTTCTCTATGTGACACAGCCTCCCAAATTTCTCACCCAGTTGTGTGTGGTATAAACACACCCTGTAGGGCGAGGCATAGCATGAGAAAGGAGTGAGGGAAGGAGTAACGACAGCTGAAACATCACAGCTGACATACCATAAGGTCAAAGAAGCAATGTTTCTAAAAGGTGATTTATAGATCTAGATAGTTAAAAATAAGTGTTTTCCAAGTGATATCTGGTTTGACATAAACAAACTTAAGAAGAGAGAGACCCTTATCGATCCCCAGCCGAGAAATTTGGTGTATTGATCATTTGAGACGTTCAGATTAAAACAAACATTGACAAAGTGTTGGAAAAGAATATATTTTTCATAAACAAACGTATTCAAGATTATTTTTTAACTATTTAGAGAGACCTAATTTTTTTGAGTTGAGTTACCTGCAGCACTGTCTTTCACAATAAATGAATTTTTCTAATCTACATTATTTATATACAACTTTTTGTTAATTTTTTTTTTGTGTGTGTGTGTGTGTATATATATATATATATATATATATATATATATATATATATATAATTCTATAGGTGTAAATCAAGGAAACTTAAGTTAAAAAGAAACAAAGAGGAATACGTCATATTGTTTGCATTAGTTGGTTGGAAGGAAGGACATTAGCTAAATGAGTTAAATTAAAAGTTGGGTAAATTAAACTCTATACTGTCCTACCTAGATGTACCATAAAAATAAAACCCTACTCTTTCTTCCCCTGATTCTTACATTGCCCTGCCTCCCTCCTCTGCATAGCCCGGCGCGGAAGGATCACCAAGTCCCCCCAAGGATTATCTTTGAGTCACTATTCACTTATTTATTACTTGTACATTTTGTTATTTTTGTTATTTATCACTATATCATAATTTCTAATTTCTAGTGGGGAATGATGCTGACATGAGTCTAGTGTGTATCAAGCGTGTATGTGTGCTTCTATAGATAGTAAAAAAGAAAGGTGAACCAAAAAAAAAAGATACAACACTCATTCAAGGAGAAAAGAAAAGAATAAATACATTTATCAATCAATAATTAATCAAGTAATAAAAAATACATATACACAAACATAACATACATTTTATTATATTTATTATATCCTTGGTTCAATAGCTATTTTTATCTTGGTAACTTTGTGTCTTAGGAAATCTGTGTGTTTATTGGTGTAGCCTTGAGCTATGGAGCAGTTTTATCTTTTATCTTTATCATGTTTTTCTCTTTTGGTTGTTATGGTTAATGTTGTACTGTATGTATGGATGAATGGATGTCAACTCACTGCAAAACAAATCTACCTACGGGTATAAATAAAGTAACCTAACCTAACCTAACATATGAAGGAAAGCTGTGAGCTATAGTCTAGGTTACAAAGATATGTTTTGAGTTGTTTGCTCTTGAAGTCACTGATGACCATATAACAAGATGTACATACTATACTATAACTTTTTTGCAGTTTTTTTTAACATACTATACCATGACTTTTTTAACATACTATACTATGACTTTTTATTTTAGCTTTTTTTAAACATAATATACTATGACTTTTTTAACATACTATACTATGACTTTTTTAGCATTTTTTAACATACTATACTAAGACTTTTTTTTAACATACTATACTATGACTTTTTAAACATACTATACTATGACTTTTGTTTAGCAGTTTTTAGCATACTATACTATGACTTTTTGTGCAGTTTTTTTAACATACTATACTAAGACTTTTTTTAACATACTATGACTTTTTTTTTTTTTAGCATTTTTTTAACATAATATACTATGAGTTTTTTTTAGCGTTTTTTAACATACTATACTATGACTTTTTTAGCATTTTTTAACATAATATACTATGACTTTTTTTTTTAGCATTTTTTAACATACTATACTATGACTTTTTTTGAGTTTTTTTAACATACTATACTAAGACTTTTTTTTTTTACATACTATGACTTTTTTTTTTAGCATTTTTTTAACATACTATACTATGACTTTTTAGCAGTTTTTTTTAACATACTATACTATGATTTTTTTAGCATTTTTTTTTCACATAATATACTATGACTTTTTTAACATACTAAAAAGTATGACTTTTGACTTTTGACTATGACTTTTTTAGCATTTTTTAACATACTATACTATGACTTTTTTTGCAGTTTTTTTTAACATACTATACTAAGACTTTTTTAACATACTATACTATGACTTTTTAAACATACTATACTATGACTTTTTTTTAGCAGTTTTTAGCATACTATACTATGACTTTTTTAGCATTTTTTAGCATACTATACTATGACTTTTTGTGCAGTTTTCTTAACATACTATACTAAGACTTTTTTTTAACATACTATACTATGACTTTTTTTAGCATTTTTTAACATACTATGACTTTTTTGCAGTTTTTTTAACATACTATGCTAAGACTTTTTTTTTACATACTGACTTTTTTTTAGCATTTTTTTTAACATAATATACTATGACTTTTTTTTTTAGCATTTTTTAACATACTATACTATGACTTTTTTTTGCATTTTTTTAACATACTATACCATGACTTTTTTTAACATNTTTTTTAAACATAATACACTATGACTTTTTTTCACATACTATATGATGACTTTTTTTTAACATACTATACCATGACTTTTTTAGCAGTTTTTTTAACATAATATACTATGACTTTTTTTAACATACTATACCATGACTTTTTTAACATACTATACTATGACATTTTTAGCATTTTTTAACATACTATACTATGACTTTTTTTTGCAGTTTTTTTTAACATACTATACTATGACTTTTTTTTTTAGCAGTTTTTGTTGACATACTATACTATGACTTTTTTGTATTTTTTTAACATACTATATGATGACTTTTTAGCAGTTTTTAGCATACTATACTATGACTTTTTTTTTTTAGCAGTTTTTGTCGACATATTATACTATGACTTCTTTAGCCATTTTTTAATATACTATACTATGAGGTTTTAGCAGTTTTTTTTTAACATACTATGAGTTTTTAGCAGTTTTTTTAACATACTATACTATGACCTTTTTCGCAGTTTTTTTAAACATACTATACTATGACTTTTTTTAGCAGTTTTTTAAACATACTATACTATGACTTTTTTTTTAGCAGTTTTTGTCGACATACTATACTATGAGTTACTTAGCAGTTTTTTTAACATACTATACTATGACTTTTTTTTCGCAGTTTTTTTAAACATACTATACTATGACTTTTTAGCCGTTTTTTTAACATACTATACTATGACTTTTTAGCAGTTTTTGTCAACATACTATACAGTTTTTGTCGACATACTATGACTTTTTTAGCAGTTTTTTTAACATACTATACTATGACTTTTTAGCAGTTTTTTTAACATACTATACTATGACTTTTTTTTAGCAGTTTTTTTAACATACTATAATATGACTTTTTTAGCAGTTTTTTTTAAATATACTATACTATGACTTTTTAGTAGTTTTTTTTAAACATACTACATTATGACTTTTTTAGCAGTTTTTGTCGACAAACTATAATATAACTTTTTTAACTATACTATGACTTTTTTAGCAGTTTTTAACATTCTATATTATGACTGTTTTAGCAGTTTTTGTCGACACACTATACTATGACTTTTTTAGCAGTTTTTTTAGCTACTATACTATGAGTTTTGAGCAGTTTTTTTTAACATACTATACTATGACTTTTTTTTAGCAGTTTTTTAACATACTATACTATGACTTTTTAGCATTTTTTTTAACATATTATACTATGACTTTTTAGCCGTTTTTTTTAACATACTATACTATGACTTTTTAGCAGTTTTTTTTAACATACTATACTGTGACTTTTTAGCAGTTTTTTAACATGCTATACTATGACTTTTTAGCAGTTTTTTTTAAACATATTATACTATGACTTTTTTTTTTAGCAGTTTTTGTCGACATACTATACTATGACTTTTTAGCAGTTTTTTTGTTTAACATACTATACTATGACTTTTGCAGGTTTTGTCGACATACTATACTATGACTTTTTTAGCAGTTCTTTTTAACATACAGTACTATGACTTTTTAGTAGTTTTTTAAACATACTATACTATGACTTTTTTGCAGTTTTTTTTAACATACTATACAATTTTTTTAGCATTTTTTTTAACATACTATACTATGACTTTTTTTTTTAGCAATTTCTGTCAACATACTATGACTTTTTTAACATACCATACTAAGACTTTTGTTTTAGCAGTTTTTGTTGACATACTATACTATGACTTTTTTTTAACTTATACTATGACTGTTGTAGCACCTTTTTTGACATACTCTACTTTAATTTCTTTTTGTCACACTACTATGGCGTTTTTGGACATACTATACTAACCCTTCTTTTAGCAGTTTTGTCGACTTACTATACTCTGACCTTTTTAGCAGTTTTCAGCATATTATACTACAGTATAGTATGTTGAAGAAGGTCATAACTATGACCTTCTTCAACATACTATACTGTGACTTTTCTCAACATACTCTACTTTTTTGACATACGACCTTTTTGGCAATTTGTTTGACATACTACACTATGATTTTTTCCAATATATGACATATGATATATGATAAAGAAATTTATTGTAGGGTTGGTAGGGTTGGATAAACCCCTTGAGATGCATCATCTCGTTTTCGAGGGGGTCCTAACGAACATTCAACAAATAAAGACTGACAATGAATCACACACAACAACATATAACGGTTACATAACAAACATTGACAAACAATCTGATACCAAACAAAACAAACAAGCAACAACAACAGAGACAACAATAAAATATTACAACCTTCATCTACCAAATAAATAAAATCAAAAATACAGAATAGCAGCAAAACAAGGCAAAACAAAACA